AATTATTAAATATTGCGGTCAAACATTGCGATCGTTGTTCGTTTGGCAGCCGCAATGTCTAATCGCAACAATTTCAATCCTAATGCTGGTTTTTTTTAACAACCAAAATTTTTATATGCAAACATTCCAACTGACCGCAATATTTGGTCGCATGAGTCTACATTAAGTAAACGAACATCGTTTGGCTGCATGATGCAGCCGCAGCCTCCTGCATTAGGCAAACGAACATGTCCCGCGTCTCCTAATTTTCACATGTGAGGATGGATGATTCATGAATCATGATTGATCTATTAGGGTTTCAAGGAACTGAAATATTTAATAAAATATGATCACTAAATCAATAATTCCGTTTGTTGCCAAAAAATAAAACGAAATGCATGAGGCTGCATTGTATATGAAATGGCTAAAAGTTCGCATCGGTAAGCTATAAGCATTAATCAATAATTTACACCAATGTGTTAGATAATATTTTATAAGATGATTAATTAATACTAATAAAAAAATACGCATTCTTTCCATTCAAAAACATATGATGTTTTAGAAATTTATTTTTTTGAAAAAAGTAAGATGTATTCACATTTTTATGCAAAATTTGAATATATATTTGATGTTTTATGATTGTTTGTATTATACAATTTCTTTCATGATTGAGTGAGTTATAAATGATAATTTTTTTAAGCTTTGCGCTTATAACTAAAAATAAAACAAAGAAAATATTTATTAGGTTGATTTATATCTTAAAAGGCGACTGATTAAAACGGTGATGAACTCCTCTAATCAATCACATATAGACGTCATAACTATGAAGAATATATTTGGGGGGGAAAATTGGATGATATATACAAACTAGTTAACCTAAATAATAAATTTTTCAGTAAATTATTTGAATCTTCCTAATCTATAAAATAGTAAAAATTAGTTAACAACTTTCATCAATGAGACTATGGGAGCAGCATATGCTATTGCATGTAAACTAAAAGTAAAAGTGCACGCATAGAATAGTTCAAAATACAAATACCAAATTGAGTTTTTGTGCCCTACGCACCTGGCGATAGCAACCAATTCCATATCCGACAAAGTAAGATTGTTCAAAATGGAGTTCAGTACTTACCAAGCCTTTAGTAATGATCTGAATAAATATCTCTTTTAATTTTTTCTTACAATATAACATAATTCATGGTTTTTGAAGAGAAAAATATCTATCTTTTCCAAATTAAATCTAGATAGTTTTCGATTTTTAAAAAAATATATTTGTGGCCGTACCATGTTATATTTCCGTTAAACTCTATTAATATACATCGTTACGTTTTACTAGATGCAACATCAACATATTTGCACTTCTTGATTTCTATTACATATGTTTTCTATAACCGCAATTATCAATCACGACAAAGTCTTTTTAATGACATATATTCATGATAATAAGAAGATTGATTTAACTTAATTACTAGAGAATCATGCAGAGGCATAAAATGGTCTGGAAAGCATATATTTAAATTTAGATTTGATAACAACATTTCATGGTTTTGGAATGAGAAAAAAATATCCATCTTTTCCAAGGATTTGGAACAAACAAAACAAATAAATACTTATACAAACATATTAGCGTGTATACACATACGTATATATAATTTAGTGTCGGACTAGAGCATCATTATCCATGAGATTTGGTGGGTATCATTAGATATAAAATTATTAAAATTTGAGTAAAAAGAAGAAAGAGAGTGTTTTTGGTTGAAATAATGGAGTGTATTGAAATATAAAATTAATAAAATTTGAGTAAAAAGAGGAGATGAGTTGATACTTTTGGAAAGAGAGTGTCTTTGTATCAATGGGTTGATACTTTTGGAGAGAGTTTAAACAGTTGGGGTGTGTTTAAATATAAAATTAATAAAAGTTGAATAAAAGGATGAAAGAAAAAGTATAAAGTTGAGTAAAAAGAAGAGAGAATGTGTGTTTTAATAATTTTATATCTAATGATATCCACCAAATTAATAAAACGTTAACGTAGAAAGAGCTTTGTGATGGAACAAGAATTATAATTGGTGGATTAAGAATATGGGAGAACGTGGAGGATGCTTCTTCACTGGTGAAGTTGATGGATCACATATATAAATGTAATAATAATGCTATTAGAATAAGTTCTATCTATCACTTGACCACTGCAATCTATATTATACTTTCAATTTCCCCTTTTGATGTGTTGATAATACAGTCTTGTTAATATCAGAAAAGGTTTTAAT